TTTGCACATGTACTGCATTGCTTTTTATGTAATTCCATACATTTACTTTTATAGCCCCTCCCAAATTTTACTTGCATTCCTGTTCTCTAAAGGGGCGGTCCTAGGGTTTGATGAGGGCGTGGCCAGGTTTGGGTGGGGGCGTGGCCAGGGGAGGGAGGTGAGTTCCACCACCTTTTCTCTGAGAAAAAAAGCCCTGCCCAGAATTACTTGGGAGTTGAAGTCCCCCACATCTGACAAGTTTGCAAAACACTGCCCTGGCTCATACACAATAGGCATCCAGCTGCATGTGTGCATCTTTCTTCTGCAGCTCCACTGATTATATATATATATATATGGGCAATCCAGGGACCCTCCATCATGTCACAATTTGCCTCTATGTCAACAGTTTTCGAGAAGGAAGTTCCTAGAAAAGGAAGTGTCTTGATGGGGGCATCAGGATACCTCCAGAATACCAAAACCATCTTCCTGTTCTGGAAAGATTCCTTTGGGGAAACTGCTGGATTAGCCCAATCGGCGTGAGGAAAACAAGGATATTTAAAGTTGCCCAGAAAAGACCCTTTTGCCCATATATACCAGTCACTTTTCTCCTGATTGCACAAGGACTGCAAACTCTCAGGTGCTGAGGTCTTGCCCATCCGAGTTCTCTCTGGCCACCAAGTCCCATCATCCTCAGTCCATGCTGCAACGGCCAAAGAAAGGAATACCTGTGGTGCTCTCCCTGCTGGTTTGGCAACTGCCCTAGCCCACCCAGCAGGAAGGCCCCACAATTTGTGCTTCGTTTTGTGACCCAGCCAAAGAACTGGCATAGAGAACAGATCGGGCAAAGATCCTCACGCTGCACCAAGTTAGAGATGTACTACAACTCCCAGCAGCCCCAGGCAGCATGGTTAAGGAGGAGGGGTGCTGCTTCAGCAGTCCTGGTGCGATCAGGCAAAGTGCCAGTGGAGCTGGAGAAGAAAGGATACTTACACACGTGCTTGACTTACCTGTGGCAGGATTTTCTCCGACTGGGATGGCCTCTGGATCTTCTCCTAATGTGGGATTTCGAAAACCAGCACCCCTGACAATAAAACAGCCCTTTTCAAGCACACCAACCCCCTCATCCCGAGACCAACGCTTAATATATTTTATTTACAAGAAAAAGCGCTCCCAAAGTCTCTTCTTCTTCTTAAGATGTCCAGATGTTGCAGGTAGCGTCGGCACCTGTTCCAGAAAGGCAGCACTGAACTATTTCAGCTAGGTGCAAGGAATGGAAGCCCTCCCTTCCACCAGAATGGTCTCTGCACACGTGGGCTACAACCTGTCTTACTACCTCCTGATTCATGGGCTAAAGCTTTTATTATCCTCTCCTGATTCTCGCCTATCTATCATGGTTCCTGTTACCCACCATCTCTTCTTTGTTCCTACAGCACTGTTATTAAAGCTTTGGGGAGACCCCCACGTGCCCCCCCTTCTTCTGCTGCCTGCTTGGCCAACCCGTGGCTTCCGAGCCCTCCAAAGAGGTCTGCAGGAACGCCATCCTTGGTGTTCTCCTTCTCCAGGGTCCAGCTCAGCTGGACTTCCCTTCTTCCCACCCTGCCTAGATGTTGTCATAGGGGACCACAAGGCCAATGTTGTAGCTGTAGCCGGCCACTTCGTTGTAAGAGGAGCGGCAGATAGGAAGGACACTCTCTGCCACCAGCTTGTCTGTGGAGAATTCGTAGGCGTAGATAATGCCTCTGTGCCTGTTCAGAGAGAAGCAAGGGGAGAAAAGGGAAAAGAAAATAAGCAGAGCGCTTTTCAACCAGCCTGGTTCCCAGCAGTTCAAAACCCTCTGGAGCAACTTTCCAACCTTGGCAACGTTAAGATGTCTGCACTTCAAATTCAAGCTGGCTGGGGAATTCTGGGAATTGGTCCACACGTCTTAAAGTTGCCCAGATTGAAGAACGTTGCTCCAGACAAGGGGCCTTCAAACTTGGCCCTTTTATGACTTATGGACTTCAAGTCCACAAGTCGTAAAAGGGCCAAGTTTGAAGACCCCCTGCTCCAGACTCTGGTTCCTCTCTAGGGCCAAGGAGATGTTAAAATGCAAGCACATCAATTCAGAGTAGGCCCATGTGCTTCAAGGAGCACCCTTAATGGTTCTGGGTTGTTCTACTTTTAGAGTAGTGCTTCTCAACCTCGGCCACGGTAAGACGTGTGGACGTCAATCCCCAGAATTCCCTGGCTGGGGAATCCTGGGGATTGAAGTTCAGTCCTCTTAAAGCAGGCATGTCAAACTGCTGGCCCGTGGGCTGGATGCGTCACGCCAAAACTGTGCCCACCCCATTGCCGGCAATGAGGAAAAAGTCACAATACGTCGCACGACATCACATGACGTCGCAAGTTTGACCTGCCTGTCTTAAAGTAATCGAGAAACACTGCTCTAGATATGTCAACTGTCTTGTATTCACCTTCTTGGAAGTCAGCTCAGAGTATGAGAAAACAGATGGGAAAGGAAGGGAGAAGGGGAGGAGAGAGGAGATAAGAGAGGGAAGGGAAGTGGGAGGAAGAGGAGAGTTATCAGAATGCGGCCTTACCTCGGCCTAACTTTTCTAACTGCAAAATGGGTCAAACGTCAGGCCGTAGTCTCTCCTTATCCAAAAGAGGGCAAACAAGTCAGGCTTTCCCAAGATATGAAGGACTATGTTGGTTATTTGGGGGGCAAAGTCGTCAGAATGCAGCCTTAGGCAGGAATAGCAGCCACGCAAGGAAATAAACCTTAGCTGCTGACTTCTTGTCACACATGCGCAGTAGTCCTCCACTGTCCTACACACCGACCTCCCCCGGGATGGCCAACTTCCTGTCCGTTTCTGTGGCCGTCCTTCCATTTTCTCTCCCTCTGAAATGGAAAGGGTACAAAGAGACTCGGCCTCCCAGTCTCTTGTACCGTCGCAACTACCGGCATCCAGTCGCCTCGTAGAGACAGGAAGTCGGCCATGCCGGGAAGGTCGTTCTGAATAGAAGTGGAAGGACGGCCACGGAGACAGACAGGAAGTTGGCCATCCCGGGGAGGTCGGTGGGTAAGGCTGTGGAGGACTACTGCGCATGTCTAACCGGAAGTCGGCCATGCCGGGGAGGTCGGTGGGTAAGGCTGTGGAGGACTACTGCGCATGTCTAACCAGAAGTTGGCCATAACGAGAAGGTCGTTCTGCATAGAAGTGGCAGGACGGCCACGGAGACGGACAGGAAGTTGGCCATGCCGGGGAGGTCGGTGGATAAGCCAGTGGAGGACTACTGCGCATGTCTGACAGGAAGTCGGCCATGCCGAGAAGGTCTCTGAGAGAAGGCTGGAGAGGAAGAAGCCGCGGCCATGAGGTGAAGGCCATATGCGGCTCATCTCCTCAAGAGGCGCAAAGAGTTCCGGTGCTTTTGTTGCTACGCGGCACTTCGGAGCTTCGCCGAACCAGGGGCGAGGCGTTGTCATCATGTTGTACTCCCCGTTCTTTTTGTAAACAATAAAACAGTATTGTGTAAAACAGTATTTTTATCTGCTGTCGTCTTTTTTTTTTTTATCAAGGGGGGGAAACTACTGCTTTCTGTCGTTTACTATATGCTAGACAGCTAGGAATAAGGTATTTTGGCTACGGTGGCTGTTCTGCAGCCCCAGCGCCTCTTGGACCAATATTAATTTTTATAACAAAACTGTTAATAAAGCAGATAATGAATAACAATACTAAAACGCTCTAAAAAGCCTTTTTTTTCTTTTTGTGTCTGCTATTCCCCTATTCTGTCCCTTACGTTAGCGCTGCAGTCATCGTAGGCCTTTTTGATGGCCTCAATACTATTGCTAAGGGACAGAAAACTGTGCCATCCTGTGGTCAGAGCATGTATTGCAGCCACAATGGCATTTTAAGATTATTATTCTGCATCTATTCAAGCCATCATCGTAGGGCTTTTTAACTCAATTTAAGGCTTCTACTCTGCCTGTTCTGCAGTCCCTGGGCCTCCCGTCGCCCTATTAATATTAATAACAAGGCTTCTAATAATAAAGGTACAGAATAATAACCTTAAAATCCCATTGAAAAGTAGTATTTCCTTTTGGGGCTGCTATTCCTACCTTGCCCACAGGAGGGCACTGTTTTCTGTCCCTTAGTATTGGCATTCAAGCCTTCATAGGCCTTTTTAACTCAGTTTAAGGCTTGTGAAGCAGGTTTCCTTCTTCTCTGCCTGTTCTGCAGCCCCTGGGCCTCCCGTTGCTCTATTAATATTAATAACAAGGCTTCTAATAATAAAGATACGGAACAATAATTTTGAAATCCATTAAAAAGGTTTACAGGTAGTCCTCAACTTAGGACCACAATTCCTTTTGTAAAGTGAGACATTTGTTAAATGAATTTTGCCCCATTTTACGACCTTTCTTGCCACAGTTGTTAGGTGAATCACTGCAGTTGTTAAGTGAGTCACACTGTTATTAATTGAATCTGGCTTCCCCATTTGCTTTTCAGAAGGTTGCAGAAGGGGATCACATCAACCCAGGATGCTGCAACTGTCATAAATCTGAACCGGTTGCCCAGCAGGACCTGGGACTGATGGTGGTGAGGCCACAGAAGGCCTGACTAAAGGGGGGGGGGGTATCAAGCATACGCGGGAACTACGGAAGGACGGAAGATGGGCCTCCATCCGTAGACTGGCCAGTCACCCAAGGCTTCAACACAGAGTTGCCCCCAGTGTGCAGGTCAACACCCCACCCTTTGCCAGCCTGCTTCTCCCCAGGTTTGGCTCGTTGGTCTCCCTTTTTTCCCTTCCATCCTTCCATCTGTTTTCGTACAATCTAACAAAGAGGACGAGGGATGACGGGATAGCAGTCTTCCAATATCTAATGGGCTGTCACAGAGAAGAGGGGGGTCAACCTCAGGTCTCCAAAGGACCTGAGGTTAGGATGGAAGCTTGTTAAAGAGAACTAAGGAGAAATTTCGTGACAGTGCAATGGCTTTCAGAAGTTGTGGGTGCTTCATCACTGGAGGTTTTTAAGAAGAGATTCGACAGCCATTTGTTGGGAAAGCTATAAGGACTCCTGTCTCGGGCAGGGGGTTGGACTAGAAGACCTCCAAGATCCCCTCCAACTTCATTGTTGTATGTTCTAAGCAGGAGAGAAGCTTTGCAGGAGTTGGCTGCCTGTCCAGGGCCCAGAAGGAGCTGAGCTGGAGCCCCGGGGCTTCTCCAAGAGGCTGTCTTGCAAATCCCAGGGTGCGCTGGGGGCCCCAGCCTGCCCCTTTGAGAATGGAGCTCCGTCCTTGGCTCTGGGGGGTGGCAGGGCAGCAGCAGCAGCAGCAGCTGGGATCTCCCCAGTTGCCTTTTCCGGGAAGCCGGATTAATGGCTAACTGGGAGCCCGCCCGCCCGCCCTCCTGTGCCCAAGGGCACCCTGAGCCCTGCCGGTCATTGCCGTCCCACCATGGCGCCCATTGCTGTCCTTCTCCTGGCTGGGCTTTTGCTGGCTTCGCCCTCCTGGGCTCCGAGGCCCAAACCCTCCAAGAGCCCCATCGACAACATCAGCGCCCAGGAAGAGTTTGATCCTGCCCGGGTGAGCGGGGGAAGGGGGGGTCTCGTTCGGTGGGTGCTCTGAGAGGGCAAAGACCCCCCAGAGTCTGTCTTGCGCTGGGCTAAAGGGGGCCTGGGAGGCAGCCGCCCTCTCTTATTGCTGCCAACCAGCCTTATTTTTATCGCTGTATTTTGGAAGGGCCTCTCCTCCTACCCCCCCCCCCCTTCCAGGGATCTAGCAGACATTCTAGGCTGCAAGCCCATAATCCTGATCCCCTCACAGAGCAGTGCTTGTTAGGCCATTCCTTATCTCTCCTGTTTGCTCAGCTCCACTCTCCCGGCCAAACTCTGGACAAAGACAGTCCCAGTGCGAAGGAGGCGGCTCTCTGGATAAGAGGAAGGTTCCCCTGGAGAAGAACTCATGCAATACGCATCTTCTCTCCCTCCCTGGCTTTTGTTGCAATAAAATCTTAAATCAGAGCATGCCCACTTTGTTTACTCAGTTTCAAGTTTTTTCTACCACTGGTCACTCCAGAGGAGTCAATATACTATCTTGTTTCGGTAAATAAAAGAATAAAGGGTTTATTTTAAAATAGCTGGTGCCTGTGGCATTTTAAAAATACAATTCACTGAACCGGATCTTAGGCTTAATTTTTGCAACTGTGCCACATTTTAAGTGTGGCTCGGGGCTGGAGGGGAGAAAGTTGCAGAAATAATGCAAGGAAACCCAGCCACGCAGCCTCTCATCCACTGGGGGGGTCAATGTGGGGTGTGTGTGTGAGAGACAAGATGGACATCTCCCTCCTTTCCTAGTTTGCAGGGAAGTGGTTCCTGGTGGGGGTGGCCTCTGACTGTCTTTACCTGCGTGAAAATGGCTACCGGGTGGAAGCCACCAACGTGGTCGTGTCGGTGACTGACAGCGCCTCGCTGCTCTTTAGCACCTTCCGGCCTCTGTGAGTGTTTCGGGGACCTGCTCTCAGGATGGGGCATGGGTGTGTGTGTGTGTGTGCTCAGCCTAACCATGTCTCCAGCAGGGCCCTCCCTAGTTCACAGGCGGGGGGGGGCACCAATCTAGTCTTGCCGGAGTCTGTTCCGCAACTGTCCCAACCTTGGTCATTTTGGACCGATATAGTCTCTTCGTCTGTCTGTCCTGCCTGGGGGGGCTGACGCCACCTTCATCTCTGCAGGGAGGGGATTTGCTGGAACATCAAGCAGAGCTATTTTGCCGGCGAGACCCCTGGGCGGTTCCTCCTGAAAGGTGAGAGGCAGGAAAGGAGAAGGCTTCCTCTCTGCAGGCTCTGTGGCTCTCCTGTGGCCCTCTCTCGCAGGACAAGCTGAGCCTTGATCTCCCTGTGGTCCCTCTTCCAGGCCGCTCTGCCCCAGTGGACGTGGTGGTGGGGGAGACAGACTACAGCAGCTACGCCATCTTGTACTTCCAGAAGAAATGCAAGATTTCAGCCAAACTTTACGGTGTGAATGAAAGCTGCAGCCTTACCTTGGTGGGCTTTGCTGACCCGGGACTGGGAGGAGACCCAGGGAACGCAAACCTCTGGGGGAGGGGAGGACGGTGCCCGCTGGGAGTGGTGTTGCCAGGAGGCCGCCCTGCAGCCTCCCTGGGACAGCCTCCTCCCTTTCAGGGTGGGCAAATCCTGAGGAGGGGGCCTGGGCTATCTCGGAAGGAGCTCTTTTCTAGCCAGCCTGCTCCGTAGGGAAGCTGGCCAGCAAAAGCTCTTGAGCTGCTTGAGGGGAGGGGAGGGCAACTTGGGTGGGGGGTCCTCTAATGCTTTTCTCTTTTGCAAAAACTCCGGAAGGACGAACGGCACAGGTGGCAAACGTCGCCCTGAAGAAGTTCGAAGCTGCCATGACTGCCATGGGCGTCACCGATGACCACATCTTTTATTACCCCGTCTACGGTGCGCGCAGCTCTTTGCACTTGTGAGGGAAGGTTGGCACTCCCTGGGCCGTGCCAGACTGAGGCAGCTCCTGGGCAGCAGCAGAGTGCTTCCCCTTATTCCTGAACGGGCCAAGCAAAGAGACTCTTTGGGTCCGTCTGTCGCAGGCCTTCCAAGGCCGTTCCACCCAAGCAGTGCCTGGGTGGAACGGCCTTGGGGGCAAGCGGGGGGCGCTCCGGGGCAAGCGGGGGGCGCTGATGCTTGTGAGCAGATGAGCTGAATCCGCTAGAATCGCTAATCTGACTTTCTCCTCCATGTCGGCTCTTTTCTGCAGGATTTTGTAGCACAGCTGACCAATTCCACATCCTTGACGGTGAGTTGCCGGCTTCAGTGCCTCCTCGGCCGAGCTCTCCAGGCCCAGGACCTGAACGCCCGGCCAGAGCCAGGCGGGCTTTGCTCCCTCCACTGGCTGATGGGCAATGGGTACAAAGCCTTGGTGGGGGGCTGCAGGAGGGTAAGCGGTGGCCTTTCAGGGGCGGATCCTCCCACCCCCCTGTATTTTCCCTTTCTGCTTTCCAGAAACGAAATACACAGGATAGCAGGAGTCATGAGCGAGCCGACGCTCCACCTGTGTCAAGACAACCTGTATGGACACTCAAGAAACAGGAGTTACCAGGCCTTTCCTTCTCTTTGTTCCCATGAAAATAAAACAAGAAAACCCAATTTGACGTTACTGATATTTGCAAAAAAAGGGATGTTAGCTGAAAAGCAGGCTTCAGCTGCTTGTGAAAGGTAGAACAGGGCCTATAATGAGCTTTCCCCCCCCCCGTCCCTGTGGCTGCCTGGACCCTCCCCAAGCCTAAGAAGCCTTCTGGCAGGAGGGGGCCCTTAAGAGGGCCAGTGGGGGCAGGGGGGTGGGCTGTAAGTGGTGGAACAAACTCTGGGTTCAGCTGCTCTCCTGTCTCCTGCCCCCCAAAGGTTTCTCCCCCTCCCAGGGACCACCAGGCTGTGTGCACCTGGGCAATGTTTTCTCGCAGAGTTCCTGCCCCCCCCCCAGTGCCAAAGAGCCCCCCACCCCCACTCAGCTGCCCTGCCTTCACGGCTGGACTGTTCTCGGCCTCTTCGGCTTTTGCTGAGAAGGCAGTTCTGGAAAGCGCTGGCTGACACCCCCCCCCTCCAGTCTGTTCTCTTGGCGGCTGGCTTGTTTTGCTGTTCCAGCTGCAGGAAGCCTCTGCACGTGCTGTTTATCCAGCACCCCCAGCCATGTCCCTCGGACCCCCCCCCCACTGGCTCTGGCCAGGCCCCCTCTGGCTCCAAAGGGGCCTGGGTCCGAAGGCAACGGTTCTCTTGCTGGCTGGGAAGGAGGAGGCCGGCCGAAGCAGCTGCCTCCGGCCAACAGCTGGCCTTCCTTTGGCCAGGCTGAGCTGCCTTGAGGCAGGGGTAGCTGCTGCTGGACCCAGATGCTCCTCCAGCCTCGGTCAGCTCCCTAATAGGGCAGCCATTCCCTGTCTCCCTATGCCCCAAGCACGGCCCCTCTGGTCTGCAGCTCCATTCCCCCGTCCTGCCCCCCCCTCCAGCTATGCCTGCGTCCAGTCTGGCAGCTGCCGGAATCTCTTTTGCCCTCTTTCGGACTTCATTAGGAAGCGGAGTGAGGGCTGACAATGCATACTATTTATTTATTTATTAAACAGCCATCCGGCCTCTCCTCCAGGGACTCCAGACCATTCCCCCCCCCAACTGCCCACGCAGCAGCCCCTCCCACAAGGCTTTGAGGCTTTCTTGGCATTGCAGAGTGGACAATGGGGCTGGACCTTCCAACTGATCCAGTGCTGCCATTCCCGTTCTTGCCAACCACAATCAACCCACCAGACAGTGTCCGCCAGCAAAATGCCCCCACCAAGGAAGCAGCCAGGTGGGCTTGGCATCAGGGTGAGGGGCAGCCAAGGTCTGGGTCCTGTGGGCAGGTGGTCCTCCCGTGGCCTCCTTCCATTCTCCCCTTGAATGAGGCACTCCTGCACTTTACACAGCAGGGCGAGAGCCAGAGAGGGAGGGGGCGTCCCTCTGCACACAGCCTGGAGGATGATGGGGGGGGGGGAGTGGCAGGCTCCTCCGCCTTCCAGCGGGGGTCTCCTTGATGGGCCTGCGGGAGAATGCTCGCACAGCTGGGCCCCACAGAGCAGAGCAGAGCAGAGCGAGGGCCCAGCTGCCTGTTCTGTTTCCATGCCTTCGGCTTGCATCATTCTGCCAGGAGGGGGCCGGGGGGGGACGCAGGGGCCGGCCTCCAGCACAGGGTTGCCCCTTGGCCTGCTGCTGGGCTGGCCAATATATATAGCCGGCTGCCCTGGCTTCTGGCTGACCGTTCCTGGGGAAGAAGCCTTTGCAGAGACGCCACTCCAGGCAGAGCCAGGGAACTTCAGCATGTGGGCCCAGCCAGCTGCCCTTTTGGCCCTGCTTTGCCTGCTCCAGGTGGGGGCCGAGATGCCCGTGCAGGCTGACTTCCAGCAAGAGCAGGTAACAACAGGAGTGCCAACGTGGCGCCCTCGGTCCCTGGCCCGGGCGCAAAAATCTCAGTGGGCTCCTCAGCTGAGCTGGTGGGTGGAAAGACTCAGAGTCCTTTGGCAGGATGTGTTTGTGTGTGTGTGGGTGCGTGTGTGTGTGTCTGTGTGTGCACAGAATATGGAGGAAAAGCCCCCGTCACTTGTCCACACTCTTTGCAAAGGGCTGAGCTGCAGAAAGCTTCTCCTAGGGGTTCAGGGGAGGAAGGGAATTGGAGGCTGTAATACACACACACACACACACACACACACACACCCTGTTTAAAAGCTCTGCTTTTTCTGCTGCTACTGACTTTCTCAAACCCGGAAGGAACCCAGCTGCCTTCTGTCCATCGGGAGAAATAAACTTTGGGGTCTGGAGTGGCCGAGAGCACCAACTGGCCCCAGTCAAACTTCCTCGTGTGTTCTCTTCTCCCAAATGCCCTCCTGGCTGGGGTTGTCTGAGCCCTGGAGAGGGTGCTGGGGGGTGGTGGTCAAGGGGTGCCATGTGGGGAGGCCTGACCCTCCCCCCCCCTCAGTTCACAGGCACCTGGTACAGCATCGGCCTGGCCTCCAACTCCCGGTGGTTCAAGGAGAAAAGGCAGGTGATCAAGATGTGCACCACGGTTGTCACCCCCACGGAAGACGGGAACCTGGACATCGCCTCCACCTACCCCAAGTAAGGAGGCTCTGGGGTGGGGGGGCACTGCTCTCCTGGAGGGGGGGAGACTCAGGGCCAGAGCAGTGAGCTGCCCAGATGAGTTGGCGCCCCTGAGCCCACCCTGCTGTGGCCGCCTCCTTGCCTGACCGCTGCCTCTCTTCCTTCCAGGCTTGACCAGTGCGAGACCAAGAGGACCCGTTTCTTCCGGACGGAGGAGCCCGGCCGCTTCACCTACACCAGCCCTTGTACGTGGGAGCCCCCTCTCCCACCCACCTGAAGACCCCTGCCCTCTTTCTCACTCTTCCTGCTCAGCTCTGTCCAAAAGGGGCTGGTCAAATAGTCTGGATTGCCAGCAGGAGGAAACGGGTTTGCAGGCCCTGGTCCAACTTCCACCATTTTCTGGCCAGAGGGATTAGCCCCTTCCTTCCTGTCCTGTCCCGAGCCCCCAGGAGGGGGGAAGAAGGCTGGAGGAGCAGAAAGGCAGCAAGGGAGCCCATGGAGCAGCCTTCTTGCCCACCAGGCAGATGCTGATGGCAGCGGTGCCTCCCCGCCCCTCCCCCCTCCCCAGCTGCTTGCTTTGCCCCTCTTCCTCATCCCTGCCCTCCCCTTCTCCTATTCATTCAGGGCTGTGCATTGGGCACCCATTCCCATCAGCCCCAGCCCCATGATGGGACTCCTGGGAAGGGTAGCCTGGAAGCCCCGGGGGTACGGAGGGAGGAGCTGAGCCGGATTTCCCCCTAGGGAGGCAATTCCCTGCCTGTCACAAGGAGGGCAATGTGGCTGCCAAGCGGGTTGGGCCTAAGGGGAAGGGTCCCCCAACCGTTGCCCCCCTGTGCGCCCTGGCTAGGGACCCTTCTCCCCTCGCCTGCTCCTCTTTCAGGGTCCGGAAGCGCCCACAACATCCGGGTGCTGGAGACCAACTATGACGAGTTCGCGCTGCTGGGGGACACCATCACCAAGGGGGCCGACACCTTCACCATGGTCACCCTGTACGGTAGGTGCAGCCAGCACCTCCCCGGCCCTTCCCCAGGCGGGCACTGCCAGGGGAGGCAGCTGCGGGGGACTGCGAGGGGCCCTCACCCGCTCTGCTTTCTGGTGCCAGGGAGGCAGAGGCAGCTGCGCCCGGAGCTGCTGGCGAAGTTCACCCAGACGGCCTTGGGGCAGGGCCTTGCCCAGGAAGACGCCCTCATCCTGCCCCGGACTGGTGAGGGCGCCCGGCGGGCAGGCTTTGCGGGGAGGGCGGGGGCCGGGCTGGCATCGAGCGGTGGGTGGCGGGTGGAGGGGTCTCCTCAGGGGGCCACGGCCTCTGATCCCTTTTCCTGTCCTCCTTCCCAGCAGATCTGTGCCTGGGAGAAACTGCCTAGGTGAGTAGCTCTTCCTCTGGCCTTCGGTTGTCAGAAAGTATCCAAGAATGTTGCTTTTAACTTGTTTTATTTTTCTTCTTCTGTCCTCTTTAGTTGGCATTTTAATGTTTCTTTTGAAAAATAATAAAGATATTGTATTTTTTTTTTTAAAAAAAGCAGAAAGTATCCAAGGACTCTTGAAATAACTTTCTCTTCCTTTTTCTTCTGCAGCTTCTGGCTTCCGCCTCCAAGGAGGGGGGCGAAGGCCCTTTTCTCCCCGCAGTGCTGGAATTCTCCGTGTGGCCTCCTTTCCCCTCAGCCCAGCACCTCTCCTGCCTCTCGCCTCAAATAGCAGCCTTTGTCCTGGCCTGGAAATATTAATAAGAGCAATAATAAAATAAAATGTAACACAGACCGGTGTCGCTGCTGCTGCCTCGCCGTGGGGAGGTGGGAGGCGGGATCAGGGCTGGGGTCTTTTGGGCCCGAGGGAGGTTTTAATGTCTGAGATTCCACCCAATCTCTTCTTGCACCACTGAAAAAAAGTTCTCTAAAAATGCAACAAAGCAACTTCGCTCTCGCTGACTCTTTCTCTTCCTGCTGCTCCTCTCAAAGGGTCAGATCCTGTTCGGCCTTCCTGGGCTGGCCGATGTGTCAGCAGCCGGACAAGGCTCCCCCCTGCACACTCCCCTTTCAAAGCCCAACCCCTTTGTGTGCACACACACACACATAGATAGACACACACAGTGCCCCTGCTTTCTGTAGCCTTTTGCCTAGCAAAGAATTCTGAAGCACTTTTTGTTGACCTGCCCAAGCGGAGAGAGAGAGAGGGAAGGAGTGAGAGAGAGAGAGAGAGAGAGAGAGAGAGAGAGAGAGAGAGAGAGAGATGCAGCATTGTTCTTTCTTGGTGCCTGGCATTGAAGGAAGCCCCTCTCCACTCCTAGGGAATTAGAGGGGATTTAGATAAAAGGGAGGTTGGGTTGCAGGATGTGCTTCCTCCTCCTCCTCCTCCTCCTCCCTGGGGTGGGTCAGCTGCAGCACCTCTTATCCCTTAATGCCCTGTTACCAGACACCAGTTGCCCAAAGCGTTGCGTAAGCCCTGCTTCCTGTCAAGTGCCAGGGAGGGGTATAAATCTCTGCCTCTCCTGCCACCCGACCGGCACATGAGGAGCACCAAGACAGACCCACCAGCATGAAGGCCGCCCTGCTCAGCCTCGCCACCTTCTGCATGTTTGGTGTCCAGGCCGACGTGGAAGTGGATCCACATTTCGACCTTACAAGGGTACCGGTTGCAGGGAAGGGGGGGCTTCGGGATGTCCGAGCCACTTCCAGGGCTGCAGATGTGGGCGAAGGCTTGCAAGCCCGTCTCCTAAACTGCAGCCTTTGTGCACACATCTGGCTGTGGACCTCCTGCATAAACATTCTGTGGTCCTCAGCCAAACTGTCCCTCCATATTCAAGCGCAGTCTACCTCAGCAACATCAACGTCAGGGTTTTACAGTTTCACTGTAGTCCGTTCTCTGCCCTCTCTCTGTCGGGCAGGCGCAGCAGCCTTTCCCGGGGCAAAATGTATAGGCCCAACTGCCTCAGGAGGGGGAGGGCTGGGGGGGAGGGGGCCGGCCCCCCAGTCTAATCCACAGGGGTCTTTGCAGTTTGCAGGGAAGTGGCACGTCCCGGCACTCGCCTCTACCGATCCGATGCTTCAGAGCCTGAAGGACATCATCACGACACCGGCGGTCCGAATCATCCCCTTACCAAATGGCAACCTGGAAATAGAAAGTTACTACCTAGTGTAAATACCTTTTGTGGTTGGGCCGCTCCTTGATCCTGTCCCCCCAATAGTACCGCCCTCTTTCCCTGACAGACTTGGGGGGGCAGGGGGGGCCATGCAAGTTCACCCAGCCCAGATTTAAGGCAAGTGCAGCAAACACCCTCCGGATTCCTGGTGGTGCCCCAGGTCTAAATCTTCTGAGGGCAACTGGAATCCGCTCCCCCCCCCCCGCAAGATGGGGGCGAATGATAGCCATGCAATGCAGGCCCAGAGAGGGCGACTCTTTTGCCAGCCAGAAACAGCCCCCCCACTTTGCTTCTCTTTGCTGCTTCCAAGGGGAAAAAATTGCGAAGGGATGAAGAGCACCTATATGAAGACCGAGCAACCGGGACACTTTACCGCAAGTGACGGTATGGAGGGAGACCCCCTTGGCTGGACCCCGAACCAGGGCTTTCTTTCTTCAAAAGAGATGTTAGAGAAAATGAGTGTGATTCTGAGCATGTGCAGAGTGCCCCATTTGATTTTCCAGAGAGTGCAGATGGGTGGTGGGTGGGGAGAAGGCCCCGGAGGAAGGGGGGCCACTGACGGGGGCTCCGGCTGCTTCCCCCTCTGCAGAGAACGGCAAGAAGGACCTGAGGGTGATGGCCAGTGATGCCAACTTCGCCATCGTCTACGTCCAGTGGGAGATGAAGGAGATGCCGCCCAGCAGGAGTCTCCAGCTTTACAGTGGGTGATCTGGCAGAAGCAGATTTTTGAACCCAGGGTCAGGGGGAGCCCGGGGGGGGGGGGCAGGCCATAAGCCAAAGCAGCCTCAGCCTGCCCAGCGAGGGGGACTGTGGATGATGGATGTAGGGATGGCTGCCTATTTCAACCTGGGCTCATTTTCTTGCTCTAGTTGCTTGCCTGTCCATCAACCTTGCTCCCTTCTGCAGGAGTGCTGAGCAAACCTTGAACTCAGATCTCCAACATTGCTTCCCTGTCCAAACATTGTGGGGATTTGTGTGTTCCTTTCAGCGGCTCCTCCTCCAGCAGGCAGTTTGAGAATGGCTCCTCAGAGCCTCCCACATTCAGTGCCTGAGTGAATAACTCTCGCCCCCCTTTCCCGGGCAGGCAGAGACCCAAAGGGAAGTAAGAACATGGACCAATTCAAGGCCTATTGCCAGAAGATGGGGCTGATGGGCGAGCTGGTGGTCCCGCCCTTGTCCGGTGAGTGGAGGGTCCCCTTTTCCTGCCTTGGCTTCAGAGATCCTTTTGTGGGTGTCAAACCCATAAGACACCCATAAGATACCCAGAGAAGGCAGAAGAGGGCAGCTGGGGAGCAGCAGGAAATTGTAGCTAAGGGACTCGTGAGCCCCACAGGGGGGCAGGGGAGCCATTGCAGGCCCCCAGCACTCTCCCCCCTGGCTGAGAAGGAGCTGCTGCCCTCCTACCTTTTAGGGGTCGCTAAATCCTGACCAGTGCATTTTTTTCTGCATTGCAGATAAATGTTTCAAGGAAATCAGGTGAGTGGGGTGCCTTGCAAAGGGTTGAAATGGGGCACGGGGGGGGGAGGGTGTTAGGGAATTGCCTTTATTATGGTGGTACGGGGGGAGGGGCTTCCCTCCAGCTGTTTGTGTGCCTCTAAGCCGCCCTTCTGAACAAGGGTGGTGGTGGGTGCTGTAAAATTTCCAGCTGCTGCGAGTTAAATTCCTCTCTGGTCCAGTATCTTGCTCCAAACAGACGGAGTAGTTTGGTAAAGTTTGTGTGGATGACTCTGAAGAGAAATGTTGGTGGAAGAAGAGTGACTTTGGGGTACAGACTCTGTTACCTCTTTCTGCTCTTTTATTTTGCAGCGGCTGAAGGGAACCAGCCTGACCCAACTCCAGCCAAAGACTCTCCTGTTCCTGACCACAATGGCTGGCTTCTCACCTCTTAAACCCCACCCCCCGCTTGCCCACATTCCTTTTCCTTCTGTGGAATAAATAGATCACAACTTCTCCTTTTTCTTACGATGTTTTTTGTGGGGCCTCTGGGGAAGGTGCAAAGTGAAAGTTAAAACAATAGCAAAGTAAAAAGGATGAACTTCTGGTTATTGTTGTCTTCTTGTGATCCAGCAGTCTTATAAACCACAGAAGTCGCCACATGTAATATTTCAGATACAAGCTTTTGTTTTTACAACGCACATCAAAACGGGTCCTTTAAACAACGGGATCTTCTTAGAAGGAATTTCTGAAATAGAACCAAGTCCAGCCCTAAAACTGCTCCCTAATTAGAGAGGTTTCTCATTTAAATGTTGCCTGCTCAAAGCTTCTCTGTCTGTGGAGCTGCTGTGCCTCTCATGATCGTTAAAACGCTGTTGCTGTAATTATTATTATTTCACTTTTGCCTGAGCTGGAGGGCGTTCACGATGTTTCCTTCGCTCTGTGTGCCTCAGTCTTGCTGCGAGGAAACGGAGGGAGCCGCAGGACCCGGGGAAGAGAGGGCAGGCTTGGTGTCAGCTGCCTTTGGCCAACCTCAGCCCTGACCTGGAGGTGGGGGTGTGTGGGTGAGAAGGCTGGAGGCCACCCAAAAGCCTCCAGGCTCCTTGGCCAGGCAGAGCAAGGGCCCTTTGTGCTGGCTGAGATAAGAATCACCCTTTGTGCTGGACCCACTCTGGGTGCCACAGCAGTTCAGAGAGGAGCCGGCCGGCCGGCCATTGGGGGGGTGGGAGTGACCTCCCAGCGCTATAAAGCCACTGACCTTCAGGAAGCAGCTTCCCTAGGTGTCTCCACTTGGCTGAGCAGGGACCATGCACCAGGGCAGGATGAGGCTGTTTTGGCTGTCTGCCTTGGGGCTTGCCTTCCTCTGCCTTCCCGCTGCCGCCTCTGATGACCCCGACTCATGTGCTCCTGGGCAGGTAACTGAGCTGGGCGGCCTCTCCAGGCGGCCAAAGAGCCCCCAATAAGCGGGTAGGAGGCAGGTTGTCCAGAGGGGCTGCCCTGGTCCAACTTCCCTGGCACGCCCCCCGGGGCATCTCGGTTGGCTAACCAGCCTTTTTCCTCAGCTTCTAGGGCAGTGGTTCATTCTCGGCATAGGCTCCAACTGTGAATGGTTGGTGCAGTTTGTGGCTAAGGAGATCATGACTGCCAACATAAGCAGTCAGGACAAGGGAAGCTTCACAATCGCTACCCACTTAATCACGTAAGTTCCCGCAGCCCCCACCCTCTGCCCCCAGCTGTGTGGGTGGGAGGGTGGGCACTTGTGCCTGGGAGAGTGGTGGGGATGCTGGGTTTCAGGGAGGGGGGGGAGATGTCCTCACCAACTTTGCCAGAGTCTGAGCCTTGCCAGCCTGTTCTGGGATGTCTGCAGTGGGCACAACGGATCTTGGTGGGGATAAAAAGCAACATTTTCTGTGAGGATTAGCAGGAAGACAGAGCTGTTCCAAGAAGCAGAGCCCCCTCCCCAGTTGAAGGGGGACTGAGTGAGAGTCTGCTGATGCTGCTCTTGGCATATTCCCTCCATGAAGCCTTTTTGGCCAAGAGACGGGCAGTGCCCTGAGGCTGGTTCTGCAGCCGCCTAATTCCGTTGCTCAATTCTGCAGGGACTATGGACCCATGGACATAGAGATGACCTATACGAAACAGGAAAATGGGATATACCTGAACAAAAGCGGTTGGTATGAGTTGGAGGTGCTCCTCTCTGGCCAGAGGGCATCTAGCCCGGTCAGTTTCTCTGGGGAAAGGCGGCCCCACGGGGAGACTCGTGATGGTCTCCCAAAGTGGAAACATCTGAGCTATCTCTACCCAGTGAGAGAAGCTAACCTTTCAAGCTGTCCATTTAGGACTGAATCAGCCAAAATTTGTTTGTAATAAATTAATCAATTCACATTGATGCACCGTTTACATGAGCGGCTCCTGTGTTAAATGGAGGTTAATAATAGAATAAAATATTGGCTTAGCTTTTAAAAGTGTACTTAGAAGGAGACGATTTCCGGACAGGATGAATCTGGTTTAAGCTTTCTGCAACAGCCTGGCCCCACCGCTAACTTCGGGTGGCCCCCTTCTGCTCTTTCTGCCAGATTGGGGGGACAAAATCATAGAGGGGAAGAAGACGGATTGCAAGACCTATGCCATGACCTGTGTCTCAGACGTGAAGGAGAATGATGGCAAATTTTGCAAGTTTGTGTCACTCTACGGCAAGTATCCAGCACACCCCACCCCTTGCGCCAAGCGGGAAAGCAGAACGGCCCAAGGCGTATTTCTTCATTCGCACATCCCTTTTCTGGCCAGGGGTGATTTTGGATTACAGAGGAGGCTGTCGCTCTGTGGGGCTCCTTGCGCAGAAGGAAAAGGACAGGTGAGAAGAGGGACGATGCCCAGGTGCACCCCCCTTCACCTGGTCCTCCTTCACCTGTCCCTTTTGGGAAGCCAGGTGGCCCACCTAAGATGCAGCCAGGGACTCGCACCTACGTGAAGGGCGTTCTCCCCACAGAGACCTGTAGGGGGAGACCCAAGGAGCCTCTTCCCCTCAGGCCTGCCTCTCCCTCCTCTCTGCAGGCAGGGCCATGTCTGTGGCAGAGTCTGTGTGGCAGGCCTTCCTAGAGTTCGCTACGGAAGTGCAGATAGACAGAGAGCAGATATTCTTCTTGACCAAGAAAGGTAAGATGCCAAGGTGGGCTTCGGTCAAAGGTGGGAGGCGGGGGGGGGGGGAGGAGAGAAACCAAGAAAGAAGCACTTGGACTCTTTCCCTCCACGTGATCATTTACAAAATCGCCCCCAGGGAAGGATGGACTGGCCGTTTTGGCCAGGGTCTTTTCTGTCCTTCCTTGCTCAGAGTTGGATGCCACATGGGCTGATAACTAAAGGGCCACTGGAGGCTCTCAGGAGGGGCTTGAAGGGGGCAGAGAGGGGAGGGGGGTCATTGGAGGGAACGGCAAAAGCCATTTCCACTTGGGGCACCCACAAATATTCGACATCCGTGCAGCTCCCAAGGGGTGAAGCCCTTCCTGGCTCTTGATTGGATCCAGAGGCAGCCAGACCATTTTCCCCCCCAGTTTTTTCGGTCCTTTCTTTGTAAAGGCTGCCCGAATTCACGGGGGGGGGGACAGAATCCACACACACCATTAATGTTTGGTGCAGCCATTTCCACATTTCCAGGTGGTGGTGGGTTCAAGATCCTTCGGTGCAAACAAAATCCAGCTCTAACTTAGGAGCAAACCCCTCCCATGCCCGGGGGTGGGGTGGGGTGGGAGGGAGGATTAGTTGCCCCCACTGCCCTCTTGGCATCTTGTGAGTTAGTTGCTGGGAATTAGAAGCAGGCAGTAACTGAGCCGCCCGCCTGACTTTGTGTCCACAGATGCCGCTGCAAAATCCACCTAGCCGAGTCTCTCGGTGAAGACCTTCACGCCAGAGGGACCATTTCCAGGGAGAGCACCCTGGCTGGGGACGGAGACACCGTTGTCCTCGCTGCAGGTCTGCATCCCTTTGGCAGTGCATGGCCGTGGCAGATGGGGGCTTTGGGACACCCAGAAGACCCCCTGCAGAGGGACCCCCTTCCGGCTCCTGGCTGCTTTCCCTGGAGTGACCAGGCAGAACCGTCGGAATCTCCACCCCCAACAGCTGCTCTCTGCAATTTTGTTTTTGCTAAAACCTAAACTTCCCGGATGTGCTCTTAATAAATAGATTCATAAGTGCACCTCTTTTGTGGCACGTGTGTGTGTGTGTGTATGTGTGTGTGCTGTTATGTCACTTTTCTCACTTCTGGGGGGATCCCCAAAGTGAGCCCAAGAACGGGGCAAGACAAGAAGCAACGGATGAAAGCTTATCAGGGAGAGAAGCAACCTAGAACTAAGGAGAAACTTCCTGACAGGGAAGTGGAACAGAAGTTGCCTTCAGAAGTTGTGGGCGCTCCATCCCTGTAGGTTTTCAAGAAGAGACTGGACAGCCACCTGTCTGGAATGGTATAGGGCAGACATGTCAAACACAAGGCCCGGGGGCCGGATAAGGCCTGCGAAGTGGTTTCATGTGGCCCACGAAGCCATCCTGGAAACAGTGAGGGAATGGCCCCCTCTGCCTTGGCCCTGGCCCAGGCCGGCTGGGAGCCAATGTACAATTTTGTGGTGGCCATCTATGCTGAAACGCATTCAGTCTTAGCTCCACAAGGCCGTCGGCCCCGCCCCCTGGGTGCATGCTGGGGAGGGGTCACCCTTTGTGAGGAATGAAGAAATGGACCATGCCTTGGCGCTTGCCCCGGTCCCGCCCCCTTCTGCCAGAGACCCTCAGATCTGTCCCACTCCTGCCCAGGCCCCCACAGGCACCCTTGACACGAACGATGTAGAGCTGGCCACGCCCACCCAGTAGGCCACACCTACTCCATCCACACCCACCCAGTCGGACACACCCACCCGGCCCCCAGAGGGCAACCGCAATGCTGATGCGGCCCTCAATGAAATTGAGTTTGAAACCCCTGGTATAGGGTCTCCTGCTTGAGCAGGAGGTTGGACTAGAAGACCTCCAAGGTCCCTTCCAGCTCTGATATTCTATGTTCTATGTTCCTTACTTTCTTCTTGAGGACAATTTAGCCCAGATGAAAAACTGGTTCATTAAAATGAGACAGGTGGGAGGACCGGCTCTGTCTGCCCCAGGGGACTGCCCACTCCAGTCTTTCTCCCCCCTCCCACAATCAGTGGGGCAGAGCTGAAATTAAAACGGAAGAGAATGGGATTTTCCATTTCTGACCGCATCAGAAAGAAAGAAGAGCCAACATCAACATCTCAGATCACGAGCCCAGCTTCGCTCGCGGCCCAGAGCAGTGAACATTGTGTATCTGGTCCGCTGCACCCACATTCGGCTGCCAATCACCCCAGGGTGACCTTTTGCGTGGCAAAGAGACCGCCCGGCAAGGGAGGCAGAAGGTGATAATCCTTTGAGATGAGCAGGATACCTGCCAGCACAAACAGTTCTCCCGACGTGTGCGGGACGC